GGTAAGGGTGCGTCAGAGTAGATCAGGGAAGGCTATTGCATTGGCGACTCCAGTGAGCCGGGAGGGGGTGAGTCAGAGGGGAAGGGTATCAGAGACATGTGAATGGATAAATTGACAGGAGTTGCTGACTGTACATGAAAAAAATCGAATGTCATGTCTTGGCAGCGAGGGTGCAGCACTTAGGTGAGGTAAGAATTTGGAACAGCCTACACATGAGTGATATGGCTGAAAGTATGAGGTTAGCTGAGGTCTCAAGGGGCCAGTGAGAGAGGAGCAGAGAGAGCCCAGGGCTAAGAACCAAGGCTGGGAAGCACCTGTTATTGGGGGTAAGAGGAGGCAGAGCCAATGAAGGAAGTAGTGAACGAATGGTCTCTCACCTCCCTCCCAAGCACGTTCCATCCCTGTGGTCTCCTCTCTCAGGGTCCTGGCAGCTTTATGTCGGGAGGTGTCCAGGGCAGCGAGAGTTCAGGAGGGTGATACTGGATTGGGGGCAGGTGAACTGGGGGAAACTCAGAGGTGTGGCTGTGTACCCAGGCACCTGGAGAACTTGCCCTGCACTTGGCTATCAGAGTCGCCACCCAGGCCTCCCTGCCCCTGGTGGATTTCATCATCCAAAATGGGTGAGAACCTCCCTGCCCATCTGCCCACCTCCTCATACTCCCCCTTGTTCCTTTCTCTTCTCCGTTCCCCTTCCCCCTTCCCTCTTTTTCCCCCCTGACTTTGACCCCTTTGCCTGTCTGTTCCCCTTCCTTCCTCCCTGGCCCCCCACCCCCAGAGGTCACCTGGACACCAAGGCTGCTGACGGGAACAGTCCCCTGCACTGCGCTGCTCTCTACAATCAGCCCGACTGCCTCAAGCTGCTGCTGAAAGGGAGAGCTTCGGTTGGCACAGGTGGGGCCCCGACGCCTCCTCTACCAGACTCCCGGTTCCTTACTAACCCTCGTGTGGCACTTCCTGCCTTCTTCCCAGATGGAGAGCACTGGTAACAAGCATGGGCTTTGCAGACAGACTTGGGTCCTAATCCCAGCTTGCCTCTGACCACCTCTGTGACCTTGGGATCTGTCTATTCATCTGTTGAACCTCAGCTTCCTCATGTGCAAAATGGGTATAATACCACAGACCAAGTAGAACTGCTAAGAAGATAGAATGTGTCTGAAAGTATTTAAGCAAATGAATATTAGCTGAGTTCAAATAATAGTGATTATAGTAGCCACTATTTATTTACTGTTTAACATGTGCCTGGTAAGGTGCCAAGTGCTCTTGGCACAAGAGCCTCACAACAACCTCATCAGAAAGGTATGAGTATTATACTCATTTTGTAGATGAGCAAATCAAGGCCCAGAGAGGCTAAGTGACTTGCCCAAGATCACACAGCCAGGAAGTAGCAGAGCCGAGATTCAAACGCAGTCTGATTCCAGAGGCCCATCTTAACCTCTAATCTATAATGTCTTTTGACCCTGACCCCTAACTTTACCCCTCACAGTGAACGAGGCAGGAGAGACAGCTCTGGACATAGCCAGGAAGAAGCAGCACAAGGAGTGTGAGGAGCTGGTGAGGTCTAGGAAAGGAGGGGAAGCCCCTGACCCTTCCTCTTTCTCTGCTGAGCCCCTGACCCTCTGAACTGCCAAGGCTTTGTTTTTGGCAGCTGGAGAAGGCCCAGGCGGGGACTCTCGCCTTCCCTCTGCACGTGGACTACTCCTGGGGACTCTCCACAGAGCCTGGCTCCGACAGTGACGAGGAGGAAGAAGAGAAGGTGGGTCCTCACCCCATCTCTCGGGCCTTCGTGAGAGAGCAGATGGAAAGAGCCAGATCGGACCTGCTGTGGGGAGGGGCAGGGCTGAACTGGAGGAGCCACACCATCCTTTCTCCCATACCTTTGCCCCTGCAGCGCTGCCCTCTGAAGCCCCCAGCGCAGACCCGCTGGGCCAGTGGGAGGGTCGACCTCAGCAACAAGACGTACGAGGCCATCGCCACCCTGGGACCAGCTGCCCCTCAGAGCGAGAGTGAGGCCTGCCCCCCGCCCTTGCCTGTCAAAAACCCTTCTCGGACCATGGTCCAAGGGCGTGTGGGACATACCAGTGGAGGTATGACTGGCTGCCCAGGAAAATGCTCATCATACCATTCACTGTCACCAGCGCATTGAGTTAAGGGTGCGTGTGTGAGCTCATATCACCCTCACAGTCTCTTGTCAGGCAGAGGTCATCACGTCCCCCTTACAGGTAAAGGGGCAGAGATGTGGAGTAGCATCCCCCAAATCCCACAGCTAATATGTCCCCGATGTGGGATTCAAACCCAGGTCTGTCTTATTCCAAATTCTTCAATGCTTTCCTTAAATAAAAAGAGAGAGAAGCATTTATTGACCATCCACTGTGTCTCCAGTATTTGGGGAGCTACTGAGACACAGTCTAGTGGGGGAGATAGAAGCTGGAATGCAGTTCATTACAATAATAGACACAATGGTATAGAACGTAAATCCCCGCCCCCCCCCCCCCCCACAAAGAATGTAAATCTCAAGACGACAGGAGTGTTCCGTTGACTAGTATTTCTCCTGCACCTAGCACAGCACCTGGCTCTTCTCAAGAACTGTTTGTTGGAAGAAGAACAGCCTTGTTCTGGGAGCTCAGGGGAGGGAGGGAGCGTGTCCTGTTGGGACTGGGGAGTGGTTGAGGAAGGCATCCTGTCTGGGTAGCATCTGCGTTGAGCCTGGGGAATGAGCAAAAGAGTCCAGACTGAGGGGCAGGAGGGGTAGAAGCCAAAACTGCATCAGTGTGGCCTGGCCATCATAGCAAATGAGACTGGGCATGGGGGGGGAGGAGCTGAAGGGGACCACCGGGGAGGTGGGTGGCATCCGGGAGTGGGGACAGCCATAGATCCTTGAGGCCAAGGACTGCTTTGAATTGAGAACAGAGTAAGTGATAAAGACAGGCTTTATCATTTCTGATTCTAGATCGTTCCGAAGTCCCCAGCCTGAGCTTAGAGCCTTCTGGGGCCCCTGAGAGCCTGGGCAGTCCAGCCTCCACCCCTTCCAGCCTCTCAAGCCCTGGGGAAGCTGGAGGTCCCAGCCAAACCCCCCCACCGAGCTCTGAGGAGGGCCTCTGGGAGCCCCCGGGCCCCTCCCGCCCCAGCCTGACATCTGGAACCACCCCCACGGAGATGTATCCCCCGGTCAAGTTCAGGTGAGGGCCCTGCTGGGCAAGTCTCCCCCAGCCCTCTGCACATCATGTATTTCCCCACCTGTCAGTGGTGCCTACCTAAGGCCTGGGATACCTCCCTGCTCTGAGGCCCATGACTAACACAGAATGCTAGCCCTTGAGTGGAGGGTGAGTGGGCCCCCTGCCCCTCACACACCTGCTCCTGAGTCTGGGAAGGAGCCTGAGACCCAGACTGCTGGAGGCCAAGTGAAGGCTTAGTCCCTCCTGTCTAGAGGCCGGAGTCTAGAGGCTCTCAGTGGGATCTCTGCTGTGTTCCCACCTCCAGCGCAGGATCCAGTCCTCCCTTCCCTGGAAACAAGCCCTTTCAGTTTGCAGTCTGGGGGGTAGGTACGGGGAAATCTCCAGAGCCCTCGGGAGTCAGTTCTAAGCCTGGGGGCCTCGAGGGGTTCTCTACCCACCTGCTTAGGCCCCAGCCTATACCTGAGCTCTTTTCCCCCACACTAAGGGGCTCTCAGTGTGAGGTCACATTGGCCTTTCCCTGCCTTCCAGCTCCGAGAGCACCCGCTCCTACCGGCGGGGTGGGCCGGAGCCTGGAAGACTGTCCCTCAGCCAGACAGCCTCTGTGCAGAAGGAACACGCTGGTATGAGCTCTGGGACCATGGTTTGAGGGGCGGTGGCAGGACACGTGGGAGGCCAAGGGGGTCAACGGGAGGTGGTTGGGGTGGGGGACATCTCCCCATGACTGGGGTACATATGAGAGCAGGTGGCCCTAGTTTGGTCAGTGCCTGCCCTTCCCACCACAGCCCAGGACACATGCAGCTGGGGAGAGCCCAGGCCTTGAGGGATGGCAGAGGTGGTGATGCCCAAGCCCTGGCTTCTCTCCGGGGAGGCTGAGCGAGGCCCTGTCAACCAGGCTGGAGGCTCAGAGAAGGTCTCACCTTCCTGCAGATGAGGCAGGATTAGGGTGGCTGTGTACCAGTCTTTAGTGTGCCCGACTGTCCCCTTGTAGGAATCTGCTGAGACTGCCAACTCCCAGGCACAGAGGCATGTGACAGGGACCAGGCAAGGGCTCTCATCCTTAATCCGACTTCTCTCTGCTGGATCACGAAGCCTCTCACAGCTACCCATAGTTAGTTGAGGAACTGGGAGTGGGCACAGGACAGAGCCAGTTGGGCTGAGAATAAAACTGCTTGTTCCTTGTTCCCCCGGGGATTCCTCAGGGGGTGGTCGTGGGTGTCAGTGCTGGGAGCGGGAGGCAGCAGGGGCAGGAACCGGGTCTCTCTGAGGAATTGCCACCCTCACTGTATCAAAGTCAGGCACCAGACACAAATCTGTGTCCACAATCAGGTATCTGTCACCCAGCATTTAGCCGATACTTGTCGTTGAGACATGCATGCTAAGAAGAGGCCAGGCTTCAGAGTGCGGAGGCCTTGGAAAAGTGGCTTCACTTCTTTAAGCCTCAGTTTCATTGTCTGTTAAATGGGGATAATTTCATCTATCCATGACAGGACGGTGGTGAAACTGAGTGAGATAAACAGCTGGTATATAATAAAAGTACTTAGACGGGGCACCTGGGCGACTCAGTTGGTTAAGTGTCCAACTTCAGCAAAGGTCATGATCTTGCGGTTCATGAGTTCAAGCCCTGCGTCAGGCTCTGTGCTGATACTCAGAGCCCGGAGCCTGCCTAGGATTCTGTGTCTCCCTCTGCCCCTGCCGCTGCCCCACTTGCACGCTCTCTCACTCTCTGTCTCTCAAAAATAAATAAACATTAAAAATTTTTAAAAATATATGATATAGGTACTTAGAAACTATCAATTTTCATTCTTCTATCCCCAGGTTGGCTTCACTGAAGGAGAGGGCTCAAGAAGGGGGGTTCTCCTGGAAACTCTGCGCAGCTTTTGCAAGACTAGCTCCTTGCTGGCCTTTGCATGCCTGAACTACCCCCATGTTTGGGCCCCAATGTTCAGAGCTAGGACTCGAACCCGCAAGACTGGGGAACTGAGGCGTCCATTCCCTTGGGTCTTGCTGTCTCTGTCCCTTGTGCCTCCGTGGCTGGCCTTCCTCCCTGCCGTGGACCTCATACCCCTTGCCCAGGACACTGGGCCCTTCCATGTTAGGGCTAATGGTGGCTCCTTCCCCTCTATCCCACCACTGCCCAGAGGCCAGGGAGCCAGAGGGCTGGGTCTGAGATTCTTGAGCTACTCTCCATCTTGAGAATTCTCAGTCTCTCATCAGACCAGAACTCTGCTTCTTCTATCAGTCTGGGGGCTCCGTAAGAGTAAGACCGGCCTACCCTCATGCTTCATGTCCAGACCAGGGATTCTACCAGACAAAGGGCTGCCTTCTTGGACATTCATTAGTCTAGGACTCCTTTCCTGAGTTTCTCTCTATGTCCAGATGTCACACAAGTAAGACAAGGGTCTTGCAGATGTGGTCCCTTGCTAGGAAGCTGGTCCCCAAGGCTGGGCTTGGGAATGGGCAGGGCTAGATCCCAAGGGATGGTCCTCGGCCCAGGGGCAGACAGTCGGCTGGCTTACACCGATGAGACCCTGCAGTTGTCTACAGCTTGCGTGCCTTCTGCTTGGCCAGTGCTCATGATGAACTGGCTGTTAAGTAAATACTCTGAAGAGTACTCCTTTCAAGGGACAGTGCAGCCTTCCCGGGCACCTCTGTTATATTCCCCAGCCGGGAGGTAGACTAGGAGTAACCCCCATTTGCCTACTCTCCTTGATTTAGCAGGAAGAAAAGGAATGGTCGGAGATGATCGATCTTCACTTCTCTCCTTTTTCTTCGGTCAACTCAGGAGCCTTCCAGTCTTGGGGGAGGAAAGAGCTAAGAAGGGAGGAAGGAAAATAATAGGAAGGGAGAGCAGGAAATAAAGTTTCTCCTTCCCCTTGCCAGAAATTCCACCATGACTTTCAGCCCCATGTTAGAAAACAGGTACACTTAAGCCATCATCAATCTCTAACAGCTTTATGGGCGCTGGGCATGAGGCCCTGGCAAGGATGGGCCAGGCCAAACAGAAGAGGCTGGAGGGTGCCAATGGCCAACGAAGCAGTCTGGCCCAGGAGGCTGAACTGTTTACCCTGGATGGAGACCTGACTGGTCTGGGATCCCACAGGAACAGGGTTGTCTTCTGAGCCTCCAGTGTCTGGTTTTGTTCATCTCAGACTTGTTATTTCACTCATCTCTAATAAAAGATTTTTGTTTTATTAAATTCTGGTGGTTTCATTTATGTGATCTGAAGAGCATTAGGGAAGGGGGTGGGAATTCTAGGGCCTGGAACTCTTTCTCTGGACCTGCTAAGGGAGCTGGGCTTGGTGTAGAACAGGGATGATTTTGCCCCAAGGGACGTTTGGCAATGCAGAGACTTTTTTTTTTTTTTTTTTTTTGACTGTTCCCAACTGGAAGGCACTGCTGGCATCTAGTGGCTAGAGGTCAGAGATACTGGTCACCATCCTGCAATATACAGGTCAGCCCCACAACAATGCATTATCCCATCCAGAATGCTAGTGGTGCCCAGGTTAAGAAACACTTGTGCAGAGAAAGCCTGTTGGACAGGGAGTCAGGAGACTCGTAGTTGAGGTCTGCCACAGCCCTTGTCTCAATTTGACCTTCCCTGAGACAAAAGCTTTGGGGACCAATAGTTTATTGTAAGGTGACCCTAGGAAACATAATAAGGAAGTAGGGAGTGGAACCGTAGGTCAAACGCAGTAGAAGTTGTATTAATGAGGGGCTACCACCGAGAACAACTAGGACTTATCTTGGGGACTGTATTGATTAGAACATATCTTCAGGCGCCTGGCTGGCTCGATCAGTGGAGTGTGTGACTCTTGATCTCAGGGCCGAGAGTTCAAGGCCCGTGTTGGGCATAGAGATTACTTAAAAAGTAAATAAATATATAAGAACATGTCTTCAAGTTGTTCCACTGAAAGTGAAAAAATTGGTGTGTTTACCACCAAGTCTGGTCTCTCACTGGTTGCGGGGTCCTTCCTGGGGGGTGTCCATTCCCAAGCCTGCTCTGAACCCTCATTCAGGGCACGTGGGAAAGTGTTGGATGTGCGTCCAGGAATTGCCTGCTGCGACCTCCAAGTGAGGATAGGTAGACAGAGGGAATATGGTGGGTACCGACAGTGTCTAATATGGCTGAGCAGTGCAACCCTGGGCTCCTCTAAGCCTCAGGCTTCCCACCCATACAATGAAAAGGTTGCACTTGATGTTTTCTTAGGGTCCTTTGAGTCCCGATGATGTAGGAATCTTGGCTTCTTTTGATGTCATACAACTCAGGGTGGGAACTGTGTGGAAGTTTGAGGAAAATCAAATGTTTTTAGAAAGGCAATCCTGGGGCACCTGGGTGGCACAGTCGGTTAAGCGTCCGACTTCAGCCAGGTCACGATCTCGCGGTCCGTGAGTTCGAGCCCCGCGTCGGGCTCTGGGCTGGTGGCTCAGAGCCTGGAGCCTGCTTTGGATTCTGTGTCTCCCTCTCTCTCTGCCCCTCCCCCGTTCATGCTCTGTCTCTCTCTGTCCCAAAAATAAATAAAAAACGTTGAAAAAAAAAGTTTTAAAAAGGCAATCCTGGGGCGCCTGGGTGGCTCAGTCCGTTAAGCGTCAGACTTGGGCTCAGGTCATGACCTCGCGGTTCATGAGGTCAAGTCCTGCATAGGGCTCTGTGCTGGCTCTCTGCTGTCATCACGGAACCCGCTTCCGATCCTCTGTCCCCCTCTCTTTCTGCCCTTCTCCTGCTTGTTCTCTCTCTCGATAAATAAATAAACTTAAAAAAAAAAAAAGGGTAATCCTAAATAACTAGATGGCTGTCCCTTCAACCCAGAGGTTGGTTGGGAATTGGCCAAGAGACTGTCCCACATACCAAACTGATAAAAGTCTAACCTCAAAGTGGTCCACATTGCTAATGTAGTCAGACCCCACCCACCTCTGGCTTCCTGCCCCGTTTGCCCCCACCCTACCTCTGTGCTACAGCCCCAGCAATTTTTCAGTTCCTCCAACCCTGACATGCCAAGCACACCCCCATCGCTAAGCTTTGCACGTTCAGAACTCCAGGAGGACTGTCTTGTTCCTCTCTGGATGCTCAGGGCTAGAACTGCCTGGCACATAGCAGGTGCTCAATAAATACACGTTGAATGAATGAATGTCTCTCCATCTCTTACACAAACACTCCCTTCCTCCTCCCCTCAACTCCCACCCTGCACTTCTGCCCAAAGTTTAAACTTCACTGCTTCAGAGCAGATGACACCTCAACTGGTGCAGGTCCCCTCAAATGTGTTCTTCAAGTATCCTCCCCTTCTTCCTGACCCTCGCCCCAGTTGTGATCATATGGAATTGATTGTGTCCAAATGTGCTTAGGCTTTCTCTCTTGCCCATAGACTCAATCTCAAACTTGCTGGGACTAGTCTGTCTTGTTTGTTGCTTGGACACTCAAAAAGCATTTGTTGAATGAAAGAAAAACCTGCCCGTTCCCACCGAAGTCCCAGGCCACACAGCAGCAGTCAGAAGCCCATGAGTTGTGACCGAGGCTGGGTCAGGGTTCTCTAGAGTTTTCTCAAGAAAGTCTGGAGATGTCACTGAACACCCCATGCCACAGTGCCCTACTCTGCACACACTATGAACCACTTTTCATGCTTCCCTCTCAGGTCCCTTAAAGCCTCTCTCCCGCACAAGGATCACTTTGTGTCAATTAAGCTCACTAGTTTAGGACTTTTCCTGGGTCTGCTGGGGATACTTGGAAGGTCCCTCCACTGGAATCCAGATGTGTGCACAGCTGTGGGGGCACAATTCTGCTTCCTTCCCTTCACCCGAGATGACCGTTCCAGACCCAATCCCAGTAGGGAGGCAGTGGCCTGACCCTGAATAAAGGGCACCCACGCACCTGGGTCAGGATATCTCAAAGCGGGGTGTATCTAAGTATCTCCCAAACCCTCGCTACTCAGAGAGCAGTCCTGGAGGCCGCTCCGCCCGTTGCGCTCCAGGGAGCTTGTTAGAAATGCAAAAACCTCACTGCAACAAACAAAATAGAAACAGAGGGCCTGGATACACGCGTGTCCCCAGGCCATGTGCACGAATGAGTGAGCAGGGGGTACAGCAGAGTTGGATTTAACGATCGTGCACGAAATATAATCCAAGGGCGCCAAGATGCTTGCACCTGGGCATAGGCGCGGAGCTAGGTCCCGCTTTGAGCTGCGATTGTGCACCGACGCGGGAGCCAGGACTCCTCCTAGAGCGCCCGGGGCACCCTCAGGCGCCCTCCGCGCCGCGACTGCCTCCTGGTCCGGGGACCACGGCCTCCCCACTTGCCAGAGAGCACTCCTTCCCAAATCTCCCTTCGGCAGAAGGGCCCAGGTGGCGGGCGCTCTCTCGAAGCCTCGTCCCTCTCGGCAGGCCAGGCCCGCCGGCGCGGGCAAACTTTGCCCGGGCGAGTCCTTGAAGTCTATATTTAGTGCACGTCACCCCTCCCCCTGCGGTCGAGAGGCGGGCGGGCCGAGAGGGGTGTGGGGGGAGAGCCCCGCCCCCGCAGGCGTGTGTGTCGTGTGGGTTTGGGGCCCCGCGCGGTTGCGCGCGCCCTCGGCCTTTGCGCCTCCCGCAGCCCCGGCGCCCCTCGCCCCGCCGGGCGTCGTGCGCCAGCATGGGCCAGGAAGAGGAGCTGCTGAGGATCGCCAGAAAGCTGGAGAAGATGGTGGCCAGGAAGAACACGGTGAGGCTGCAGAGTTTGGGCCACAGCCCCCGCCCCCAGGAGGCGCGGCGCGGCGCGTGCGAGCCTGGTGTCCCGGGGGCGCGTGTTGGCGGCGCGCCCGGGAGGCGCGTGCGGGACTCGAGGGAGGTGCGGCTGACGCAGGGCTCAGCGCCCCTTGGGGACTGCTGGGGACCCCAGGGTGGGTGTGTGCACGGCCCAGGGAGCTGGGCAGGATCTTGCGGGACCGCAAAGACGAGACTTGTGCATGCCCCTCTGGACAAGTGGGGTTCGGGGGCGCTGGGTAGCTTCTGCAGGGCCCGGGAAAGCGAGCGAAGAGACCAGGACCTGGAAAAGGACTTTCAGAGTCCGGGGACTCACGGCGGGCGTGTGCAAAGCCAGGGGAGCGGCGGCGACAGCGGGGCGGGGGAGAAAGGGGAACGGGGGAGGGAGGATGGTTTACAAAATCCTGGATGGCCCGAGAAGGGGCAAAGAAACTTGAGCTGATGTGGGGTGCTGAGCCGCCTCTATCCCTCACCCCGGTAGCGGATCTGGAGGAGAGCAGTAAGGGACCTCCGATCCCACAACCTCACAGCTTGGGGAGCCAGGAGCGGTTCTATTTGCAACTTTCCCTTAACTTGGCCGCAGGGTGGGGCCCCGGGCAGGCGGGGGCCGAACAGGTGCTGGGCAGCCGCTGCGCCCTGGGGGGGGGGGGGGGGGGGGGGGGGGACGGGCTGGAGGCCTGGGCTGTCGGGGCCGGGGAAGGGGGAGCCGGACCCAGAGGGGAATCAGGACTGAGGGCCCTACCTGCGGGTACCTGGACTCTCAGGCCGACTTGAAGTTAATGTTTGATCCTCTCCCTGATCTTTGCCTCAAGCTGGAGGCCACCGGGTTGCCTGGCCAGAGCAAACTTGGCCTTGGGTCTGCGAGGGTCTGGGCACACCCAGAGAGGGAAGAGAGGAGAGGGTAGCCCATGGGACTGTCCCCCCACCTCACCCTGTACCAGGGCCCTCCCAGTCCCATCTTCCATAGCCAGGTGCTGGAACAGGACCTGCCTTTCCAGCCCATTCTAGATGTGACTCTAGGAGCTTGGGGGAAGGGATGGACCTAAGAGAAGTTTTAGAGCAGGGAAGATGGAAGAGTCCCATGGAGCGTCAAGCTACCCTGGTGTAGACAATGAGTTGGTGTCCATACAAAGGCCAGAGTTACCAGTTTCCTCATCTGTAAGAAAGATATGAGATTATCTGTCTCCTGGGCAGGAGTGCCTCTGCTGGCAGTGGTGAGGGTGGAGAGATGTAAAACCTCCTGGAGTACTTGAACTAGTGCTGGGTAAGAGTTAGAGAATGACGCCTGCTTTTGCACAGCCAGGACGGACACAGAAACCTGCCGAGGGCTGGGAACCCCCTCACCCACACATTCCCAGCCTCCACCCGCCCCCCCCCCATTGCCGGGATCCTCCAAAACCAGTGCAACTGAGCCTCAAGTCAGAGGGCACTTTCCCAACTGGGGGTGACGGAGCTCAGCCCGAGTCTTCT